GATTTGGCCAGGGGTTTCTTCCTGATGCTCATGAGCGGCTTGTGGACCGTTATGACCTTGACCGGGCGTCCGTGCGTGTAATGGTAGAAATTATGTAGTCCGAACTGTACCGCCAGCATCTCTTTTTCCATTTGTGCGTAGTTTTGTTCGGCAGAGGAGAGCGTGAATCATGAATCATCGACTGGGCGGCCGCCACCACCAAGCGTCCCACCGGCAGACGCTCTCGGAGGGTGTGGTTGGTTTTGATGGACCCGTCCAGCGACTCCAAGCCGTTGTTGGTGCTGGGCGCTCTCAGGTCGAAGCCCTCGAACCAGCCGCCATAGCGAGCGATACGCTGTTCCTCGAAGTATGCCGGAAACCCTTAGCTCGGCCACAGCTGGCGCCACTTGTTTAGTGCGAGCTGGGCCGCCCTGTCAACTTGGTCCTTACAGTAACACAGCTGTAAGTTTCCTATATCTCTGCCTTGCAGATAGGCTGCGTTTGCATATCCTTTGACTCTCCTCAAAATGGGTCTCCGCTCTCCACCGCCTTCTTTACGTGAAACCAGGAGAAGCCATGTTTGCCTCCCGGAAAGACCCGGCTTACGGCTGCCGTGATGGCGTCCGCCCCTCAGCGACCACGATGTGAGGCTCGTAGGTCTTTCCGCTAACTTGCTCCACTGCGGTTTTCATTGCGCTCAGCATGAGGCCGTACTACGACGTTTCGACCTTCGTGAAGCCAAATACCACCGGGAAGAACCGGCGAGCCTGATCTGATACACCAGCGATGATGACGGGAAACCCATTCCGGGTCAGCTTGTAGGTGGCGTTCATATGCACGACTTCCCATCGCGCAGCATTCGCCGTTTTGTTGACATGACATGTACCGCGAGGTCGGACACACATGCTGTAAGACGTAAGCACAATCCTCTTTTTCTGGCTGTGTTACGATCTCACTCTAATGTTGATAAAGGTCAAACGTTTTAAGCAACTTCGGGTTTGTTTGCACATCCGTTTTATCTTCACAGCGACAGTTGCCATGAAGTTCGGGTGGACCCCTTGACCTTGAGAAAGGTGAGACTTTGGGAAGGAATCAAGGTTCTGTAGGGAACACAATTCCCTACAGAATAAACGGGTCGATAAAGGCGTTGGTTTGGATTAGGAGACAATACAGCAATAAATAAACACCGTTCTCCGGGGTGTGGGTAGCCACTAGCCAGTCAGTGCGCGACATCAACTGCCCACGTAGTGCCTGGCCGGCCCGACCCTCGCTCGGTCAGGTCACGGGACCCCGCCCAGCGCCGCGGTCGGCGGCGCGGTTCGAGCACTCGCCGCGCCGCGTTTACATGTGGTGCCACGGGGTTAGGGGCGACTCGAACGCCACAGGCTGAATAGTGCTGGCTGGGCCCTGGACATCTGTCTTCAGTTTGGTTAGGAAGTTGTTGAGCTGTTTCACGGAGTGGCCGCTGATGCCTCGGTTGAGGAGGGCACTGTTGAGCTCCAGTGGTTTCTTGTCGCCAGCCTCGTACAGCTCTCACAACCTGAAACATCAACGTTAACATCAACCGTGAATCAGAGCGATTCTGGAAATTAATTGTTCCAGCTGTTGGTGCACTGCGTACTGACAGCCTGGGCAAGTTGCTGATGCTGACCTCTTCTCGTCTACACCTTCACGACAGTAACAGGTGGAGCAGCAGCAGCACCTTGCTGGATAGCAGCGCCAGCAGCGGCCTGCTGCTGCCAGAGTGCTCGTGAGCCTCCGCCATTCTGAGCCGCCAACTGCGACGTTGTCATCTGTGTTGTGGCTGTTGACCCTGTTGACGAAACTGGAAACGCTCCACGATCACGTTAATTTTGGGCTCGTAATGAGTGCGCAATTGTCGGATGTTGACGTCCTAGTCATCTTCATTTTTGGCTTTCACCAGCGTCGGCTGATTCTCGTAGACACGGTATGCCTCATCCCTGGTCGTACACAGTGACAGTGCACATGTATAGACCGCTGATAGAGGGGTTTCGCCACTGCGAGCAGTTGAATAGTTAATGAAAAGATGCTCCCACATCGTCCACGGTGTTTGTAGCGCGCCAGGCTGCGACAGAAACGGCGCGGGGAGCGGCACTTCCCCGTCAAAGGCGCTCATTGCGTCGCACAACGAGGTTAAACTAACGAAATTTTAACCCACGCACTCGACAGTTTGTAAAAAACTTGTGGAATCAACGTCAACACGATATAGCGTTCTTGCTAAAAATTATCAACCGAAAGGTTTAGGCCACGACACGTGACGTTTGCCCAAGATGGAGAATGATTATTTTCAATAGGTAGTGACGGGGAGGAAACGCTTTGATAGAGAGGGAAGTACTCTGTATGAACAGCACTCAGTAGCTACGATTGCAGTGACCTGTAGATACTGACGGATACTTGATCAATAAGTTTCGTTATTAGTTGATTCTTCATCCAGTTGGTCGTAGCGTCCCAGTGACATCTAGTGTCGTGTGTGACCCACCCCAGCTTGATGTTTCACTATGTCCATCACAACCTTGCAGCTCCCGTAACTATTGGGCATGGCCTCGGCTGGTTTTCTGAGCTCGCCACTGCACTGGGTAGATCTCGAAGGAGCGTCGAGCAGCGAGACGTCCACCATCAGGAATCTCACTGGCGTTTTATTTGTGGATGCATAGCCCGAACTCTTCATTGCACACCTCCAGGGTGAAGTTTCTGGAGACGTCGAACGCCAGCATCGCGTTCTCCAAGATTTCGTCCTTGCTTGCCGCTTGAATGAGACTGATGGCGTCTCTCGAGTCCGTAGTTCCGCAGCTCTCAGTCGACCAGCTCTTCTCGGGATACTTTCGAGCCCATTCATTCATTCTGACATGCTGATCCATTCATTCATTCTGACATTCTGAGTCAGTCTGAGTCATTCATGACTCATCGTTAACATCCAGTACACTTAGTTCATTCGAAGTTGTCCTGACAGACACATCCGAACATACAGACAGATCCGGACAGATTGGCGAACTGCAGATCCTCATTTGAGGCGGCGTTCACCACCCAGATACAATTTTGGTGCACCCCTTTGTTGCATACCTGTCTACCCCTCCGGGAAGCATATCCACACCCGGCCCACATCTCCTTATCCCCTTCGCTTCACTTCTGACAACAAAGCCGGCATCGGAACTTGTCACGCACACGGGAAGGATAAGACTCCGTACTCCTGCCAGCCACACTGAACTGTACTTCACAATTTTGTCTTTTATTTCGAGACTCTTGATTGGGGACGTTCACGATTTGGGCTACCGTGGTGCTGTATTTTTGTGGGGTTCGGCATATTTCTTATCCATCAGCGACCTTTTGAAAAGTCGGGTGATCCGGTGATGCACGGCATTGGTAACTCGAGAACCCGCCATAATCTCCACTTCCTGGCCCTGAATAGCAAAAAGTTAGAAATGATGATGATTGAGTAGTGATTTTTGATTAAAGTGAAACCATCATTATCGTTGCTGTCAGCAAATTCACAGTCAACTTTGAGTATTCATTATTTTAAGTCATTCACATAAAAAATCGCCCAATAAATGCTAGAAGCCTTTTCCAGCTCTTTAAAATAGTGCCTATACAAGCGGCTGCGCCACTTGCTTCGCGACGTTGGTTAGCATTACGCAGAATAACTCAGTTCGAGTGATTGTTATTTCGAGTTGATATGACTTCTAAAAGTCTTGATGTACGCGAAAAAGATGAATCAAGGGATCAGAATGATTTTTTTTTTAAATTTCCGCTAATTTCCGCTAAATGGGTCGTTTCAGGTCATAGGTGTCACGAAGGTCACGCTGGGTCATTTCAGGTCATAGGTGTCACGAAGGTCACGCTGGGTCATTTCAGGTCACCTTAGAACACACTGGGTCATGACATGTCAAATTTATTCCCTCAGGTCACGATGGGTCACGTCAGGGGGTCAAGAGGTCATTCCCGGTCACATTGTGTCAGGTGAAGTCACTTTCGGTCAGGCCAGTCACAAAACCACGCTTAGTTAAGTCAGATCACAGAGGTCATCTCCAGTCACGCTTCAGGCCAGGTAACATTGGGTCAAGCTGAGTCACGGAGGTCACACTGGCCCACCTGGGTCACTTCAGTTGAATAGTTAGCCCGAGTCACGCTGGTTCTGCTCATAGGTGTCAGGGCACGGGGAATACCTGGAGGCATATTTTCTTCGTAAAAAATATGTGAAATGAAATTAATTATCTAACCCATCCTAATGTAACCCAGCCTAGCTCAACATAGCCTGACCTGACCTCATCTCACCTGATCTAGCCTGACCTAACCTAACCTTAAATGTTCATATTGATAAGCGCGGTATAAGTCGTTCAGATTGTCATTCTGCCGTAGGCTTCAGGTCTACCTACGGTTCCCGCTTGCCTAGCGTCGCGAGGCAACATTACTGTACAGTACGTCAAATTATCAACGTGCGGGTGTTGATATTGTTCCAATTGGTGGTGGAGTTGCTTACGAATGGGCTGAAGCTGAGCACGTACTGATCTTTTTTTACTAAGGAGCTTATTTTCGTACCACATACTCACTCATCTTATTTATGTAGGCATTGCGGCACAGCATATCCGCAGGCGCTCTTAAGCTGCCATCTATGGGCGAAAGATGAAGATAGCGATCATTGCGGCACAGTATCACCACAGGCCGGCTGAAAACGTGTATGGGCAAACGGTGATGGCCAATGGCAATTAAACAAACGGTTTTTTTCTGCCAGCACATATTGATGCAGATAATTGGCGTACTTTAATCCACCGACATCCGGAGCCGTAATCTAAATCGGCCTTTTAAGCTTCGGTTTGTTGTTTGCTTATCATACTGTGCATCATTTGAGGGGTCGTCATATTTTGATTGTTCACAACTTTGTGTAGCAATTGACGAATCACCTAGTAGCTTTCTGTGGCTCTTAGTATTAAACACGGTCTGTCGCGAGAAGACGGCCACATCAGACCGCGTCTCCATTTTTTGTTAACCCAGGAGGAGACCCCGGCAGGTAGCGGAAAGCTAGCGCCGATGCAAGCCGGTTAGATCAACCTGGGAGGAGCAGCAGCCGATCTAGGTGGAGCTGGAGTAGAGATCGGTGCTGTGGATGGTCGGACGCGGTCTACAAAACTTCTCTGTAGACCACGTTACGCGTTGTCGCTGCGGTGGTCAACGCCTCCACCGCATCGAAGTCGCCAACGCGCGACAGGGCGACGTAGAGCTGCCCGTGGGTGAAAACCGGACTGGGCAGGTAGACGCCGATCTTCCTTTTCGTTTGCCCCTGGCACCGGTTGATAGTGAGGCAGAAGGCCGCCTTGACCGGGAACTGGAGTCGCCGGAAGCTGAACCCCAGTCCCGAGTCAGCGCCGTCCACCTCCAGGGGCAGCCGAGGCAGAAACAGGGTCTCGCCGCGGCTCGGTCCGGATCCCACACGCAGCTCCAGCACGTTGGCGTGGAGCCTGGAGACGGTGCACACTGTCCCGTTCACCGTCCTTGGGGCGTCGATGTTACGCATCAGGATGACGGGTGCACCGACCTGAAACAGAAATCATTCAGATGTAATCATATCGGTGTTATACAGTTGTTTGGCAGCCAATGTCTTTTTTTAGCCATGGTTTACCACGGAATGAATTGAGCTTTTATGAGGGCAATGTACGTAAACAACGCAAACAATGAACGCACACACAATTACTGAGACAGAGAGTTGATGGGATTGCAATAATGCCAGTAACAGAACAGCCCTTTCAATAAACATTGTGTTTATGTAGTAGTGGGTGTCAAATGTTTAAATCATTCGCGCGTAGGTTGAAAAGAAAAATTTATTTGTATGTTCACATTTACATTTAAGAACGATCCACAAAAAATGCGTGGCGATTGCTGACATTCTTGCATTAACAATGTTTGCAAACTTATCTGTATGGGCTTCATTGCTCACCTTCATTGCTCACCACCAAGAGTCAGGCGATGAGACGGCAGTCCTGAAGCTCCAGGCTGTTGAGGACTTCCGTCGGCATCGGCACAGCCTCCGGGTCCGTCATGCTGTCGATGCTTCGGTATTCCGCTGTCGCGCCAGGCAGCATCTCCATCAGCACCTGGTTGACCTTGTCAACATCTGAGTTCCTTGGAGTCAAAATGGCCCGCTGGTGCAGCCACTCGGTGTCCACATAGTTGGCCGCCAGGTCCGGAAAAATCCGAACAGCCAGCTCCGCGACGCTGGTGGCTGGGCTTTGGATTTCTGGCGGCACGTCAATGACGTCCTCTCCCAGCTCCCGGACGATGGGCAGCTCGCCGTTGCCGACTGTCAGCAGGAAGTCCGAGAATTCGGCTGCTCTGGCGTCTTGATGCAGCTGGACGCGCATGTTAGTCTCCAGCTGCATCACCGTCACAGTGTTCCAGAGCGGGGACGACTTCAGGCAGGCGTCCACCACTTGGGCCCGGCAGCCATACCTTACAACCGGCAGAATTTGCCGCCAGTCGCCGGACAGCACCGTCATGATGCCGCCGAACTCCTCGTCGGTGTCTCGCAGATCGCGCATGGTGCGATCCACTGCCTCTAAGGCGCGCCGGTTGGCCATGGCCGCCTCATCCCATACGATGAGGCGACAGGCTTGGAGCAGCTCCGCCTCCGGCGTCCTCTGTGCGATGCCGCACACGTTCTCATCTGCGTGCAGGCGCAGCGGTATTTTAAAGCGGTAGTGCGCTGTTGTGCCACCGTCCAGCAGGCAGGCGGCAATGCCGGACGTGGCCACTGCGACGGCCACCTCTCCCTGGCTGCGCACCTTGGCGAGCAAGACGTTTTCCAAAAACGTTTTGCGTCAGCCGCCGGGAGCCTGTAAAAAAATGGCGCCACCGGTTCCGTCTATCAGCCGCCTGACGACTTCGTCGTAGACGACGCGCTGGTCCGCCGTCAGTAGGTGCTCGTTTTCTGCCAGATACGCCTGCTGCTGGTCGAGAGCGAAGTCGGGCTCGGCTTCAGCTGCAACAGGGCCGGCAGGGGGCTCCGGCAGACCGAAGCTGCCGACCGTCCGGCCGCAGAGACGCTGCAGGCACAGTCCGACTCGCCGGAGCGTCTCGTGCTGGATCTCCTCCGCCGACATGCAGGGTCTGCCGGCGGCGCGCAGCAGCTCCTGGCGGTGCGTTATGTCCTCGGACATGGCCGGCTGGTGAGCCGCCCAGAGCCGCACCGGATCACACGTGGCGCCACCCTCGGTCAGGATGATGGCGAACAGGAGCCGGAGCCGGTTGGGATAACCGCTGGTGGTGGCCTCGGCCAGCGCGCGGTCCCAATGCTCGCCGTCCTCCAGCAAGCCTCTGTCTTAGCACGCCTGCTACATGGTGGGCAGCACCTCGCCGTCCACCGTCCTCAGATCCAGGAAGCTGGTCGGTCCTGGCACGCGCATCAGCAGCAAACGCAGGAAAAACAGGTCTCCTGCGCGCGGAGTGGTGGTGAAGATTCGTGCCAGGGTGTCGGTCGTGAACAGCCCGGCTCGGTTGGGTGTGGCGCGCCGCGCTTCCGTCGCTGCCAGCGTGTCGCACCCGTATTCCACGTACAGGGTGTTGCAGGTAAATTGGGAATTTTCAGACCTAATTTCACCATGCTATTAATACGGTGAATAAAAACACAGAAAGTTGAAACTTCGCACGTGTATTGTGTCATGTACGCACAGCCTTGTCACTCGATGTGACCGCCGTCGGCGTCCCGCACCCTCTCGAGACGGCGCCGGAAAGCGGAGCACGCGCGCCGGGCCTCGTCCTGGTCAATGGTGCTGACTGCCTTCCTGATGGCCTTCTTCAGGTCAGAAACGTTGGCAGGAGTGGTCGAGTTTGACTTTTGTTCTACCACGCCCCACATCCAAAAGTCGCATGGATTCAAGTCAGGTGAGTTGGAGGGCCATATGTCCTTGGGTTGGGTACATATAGGGGGATCCTCTGGCTCAGGAAATCTTGCACCCTCTGGGAAGCATGTGCTGGGGCGGAGTCTTGCACCAGCATGACTTTGCTCAAGTCGTAGTATTTTAACATCCAGGGGATGAGAGACTCCTTCAGGATGGTCAAATACGCGTCAGTGTCGATCATCACACCAGCAGGTATGAAATGGGGCGGCATTATGCGGCCACCACTTGCGACGGCCCCGAACACCATTACTGATGCCGGATTTTTGCCTTTCATCACGGGAGCCACTTCATCAGGGCTGTAGGCGATAGCCCGCGAGTTCCTGCGGTTGGCGACCTCTTCTACAGGGTGGTGACACAAAAAAAAACGGTCATCACCAAATTTCGAATAACTTCGGAAGTTTTATTTAGATCATCACCAAACTTCGGCCACTTAAGGTCACACCTATGTAGCATACATCCACCAAGTTTCAAGTCTTCACTACGAATACTTTTAGTACAGTGTGTTTTACTGACGCTCCACAATGTGCTCCAGGTGAGCGCCACGGCGCTGCAGGGCGTAGGCACACTTGCATCCGGCGGGCAACGTTGTCGATAACCCGATGGCTGTGCACTTTACAGAGTGCAATGGCCTCTGCAGACAGTGCTCAGGGGGTGTGCTACCCCTGAAACGTTATTCTTATCGGGTTATCGGCAACTTTGCCCGCCGGATGCAGGTGTGCCTACGCCCTGCAGCGCCGGGGCGCTCACCTGGAGCACATTGTGGAGCGTCCGTAAAACACACACTGTACTAAAAGTATTCGTAGGGAAGACTTGAAACTTGGTGGATGTCTGCTACATAGGTGTGACCTAAAGTGGCCGAAGTTTGGTGATGATCTGAATATAACTTCCGAAGTTATTCGAATTTTGGTGATGACCGCTTTTTTGTGTCACCCTGTACGATGAACTTTTTCTCATCGACAAATACTCTGACGTCACTCCCGAGGTGCTTGAGGAGATTGAGGACCTTCGGTGCCCTCTCCCTTCGTATCGCTCTTGCTGGTTCGGTCAGGAGGCTTCGTCGTTTTCTGGTAAACGACTTCATCCCGAGGTCCTCTCTCACGGCTCTGCTGATGGTGCTCTTGCTCACGTGACGGGCACGCGCAAGCTTGTTCATCGAGGTCCTCGGTTTGGCCTGTATCGAGCGTTTTAAGCCGCTCAGGAATGTTGGTGTCCGTTTTCGGTCACTGCGAGGTGTGTGAGAACGTCGAGCGACATCCCCTCCAGCTCCTACAGTCGCGATAGTTCGGTACACGGTAGACTTTGGGTACCCAGTTAAACTTATTATGTCCTTCGCGCTCTGTCGCGCGAACTAACTCACCAATCGTTTCCCTCCGACGCTGCTCCATGATTGCGCGATATGTTAGGATTAAAATTTCAATATCAAATGAAAAACAATTGTTGAAATTATATTGTGTCAAATTTCCATGATGTTCCTCCGCATAGCAAATTTTTTGTAAGGTCATGAACTTAGTCTCAATTTATCTGCAACACCCTGTATGATGCTTCGGGACCTCTGTGTAGAGCAGAGTACGGGCGAATTTATCAGCGGCGCACAGCTGGGAAAAGGCGGTCAGCTTGGAGGCCCGCTGGTTTTGGAGGACAGCCTCCAGATTGGCGTCGTTCCGAAACTGGAGCCGCCGATCGTCGTCGCTGAGGTGGAGGTCCAGCTGTTCGACGGTCGGATGGTGCTCGTGGATCGGCAGGTCCAGTAGGCGCCAGGACGCCTCCATCGAGCCCAGGTATCTGCAGTGCTGGTAGATGGCCACCTCGTCCAGCTCACCCTCCTCACTAGTCACCACGGTGTAGGTGGACTGGTCGGAGCCCTTCTGTACGTACTTAACCGCGTACTTAACACAGGAGGTCGAGTGGCTTATCACCTCCACGTTAACGTGGGCTTTCATGGCGCGCAGAAGGAAGGGGTTGTAAGGGACAACCCAGCGGCTATCCAGCCGCGGGCGGTCTCGGTCGGCAGGACGGCCGCGCGGCTCGGTCGTGAAACCGCCGTCCTCCGGAGCGCGGCAGCGGTACAGCGGGTAGCTGCGCTCCGGCACCACCGTCTCCCGCTGGAAGTTCCGAGGGAATTTTTTGGTGCAGGCGCCGTCTGCCATGCACGCCGACCTCGGGTTGAGGCCGCCGCACGGGCCGTGCACCATTTTAGAGCTGACCAGGTTTTGCAGCTCATTACTCATTGCTCATACTCAGCTCATTACTCATACTCATTACTAAGGTTCGGGACACTGCTGCTTACAAAGATTCGACACTTCAGCCCGCGTTGCATTAGAAAAGTCACGCCTCTGCAGCGGCCAGTTCACCAGATTCGTCTTCTTGGGCGCCGTTGTTGGACACCAGCTCTCGCCGGTTTTCACACTGTGGTATGGAGCGCTATCCATGATGATAAAGAAGGGTCGCCGCAGTGAGGGCAGAAGCTGCTCGGTCAGCCAGCGCATGAACAGGGGGGGGGGGGGGGTTGTTCACCGCTCCGTGGTAGTCACTACTACTGCCACTGGTCCGGAAGCTGAGGAAGCTTCCCTCAATAAAGCCTCTCTCCGTGCCTGCCGCAAACACCACCAACCGTTCACCGTCTCCGGGCGGCACCTGCCGGCTGTAGTGTGGACTGGTTTCGGTTTCCCTGCTATCCACCTGTTCTCGAGAATCGTTCATTCATCCGTTCGATACGTTATCCGGCCCGGGGGACCAGAATGTTCGTGCTTATTCGTGTTCGTTTCACTCGTCCTAGTTCGTACTCGGTCGTCACCCAGAGGACCATCAAGTTATTGTTCATATATATATATATATATATATATATATATATATATATATATATATATATATATATATATATATATATATATATATATATATATATATATATATATATATATATATATATATATATATATATATATATATATATATATATATATATATATATATATATATATATTATATATATATATATATATATATATATATATATATATATATATATATATATATATATATATATATATATATATATATATATATATATATATATATATATATATATATATATATATATATATATATATATATATATATATATATATATATATATATATATATATATATATATATATATATATATATATATATATATATATATATATATATATAAGTATATATATATAAGTATATTCTCGATTATTAACCCTCGCACGACCAGGCCATTTCTCATAACACGAACGACCAGGGGGGGGGGGTTGTTACGACCCCCCCCCCTGGCGTTTCGAAACGGAAGGTCGTAGAGCTTAGCGGAAAAAACCAACGGATTGCTCTCAACGAGATCTCGCGATTGGTGGTATATTTTTTGGTCCTAGGTCAACATTTGACCTACTTATGACCGGTCAAAGGTCAAATTTTCCGAAAAAAAATCAAACTTTTTCAACTTTGCGCAACGATTGCGGCAAAACGGTGAGAGATATTAACTTCAAACCTTCAACAACGTATTCCCCACTCAATTCTGCATCATCTATGGTGTTTTTGGTGTATTTACCCTATAAAAGTAAGAAGCCTATTGCTGATGAGTGATATGGTGTCACATCACCCTCCGGTGTTTGTCCCGATTCGTCGGCTGTTGACCACTGCTCCGCTATAAATACTGTAGGTAACGACTCAGAAAAGTGTATTTCCAACTTCCAACAATCAATTCACAGCAAACGATGTATCACATATCATCACATATGAAAGACACATCATGAAAGACACATCATCACAAGTGACCTCACAACACGTGTGACTCGTCACCTGCCAGCCACTGCCGCTCACTCCACGCCGGACGGGCCAGCGTCACAGCTGTTGCAGAGAGGAAGGCTCCGCTTGCTGTGCTTGCGGCACACCGGCATGGTGCACTTGCAGCACCGCGACTTCACCTTGTTCACGTTGGTGTGCCGACTGCGCTTGTAGCCGGCACCCTGCTGGTCTGCCACGCAGGTGGCACACCTGGCGCGTGCGGTGGTGGGCTCTCGGCGTGGCTGCGGCTGGGCCGGTAGACGGCTGCCCAGGACGTTCTCGATGGCTGCTCTTGTCTTCATGGTGAGCCCTTCAGCAGGTCGAAGCAGGATCAGCGGCTTCACCAGGGAGAGGCCGAGCTCCCTCAGGAACAGCTTCCTGTCGCCGTGCTTGGTGTCCGAGAAGGACCCGGATGCCGCGCAGATGACCCAGCCGTTGAGAGCCGCCACGTCCAGCATCAGCAGGAAGATAGCCAAGGGCCAGCGCCGCGTCGCCACCCGGCAGGTGTAGGTGCCGATCATCTGGTCGACCGTGTCGACTCCGCCCTTGGTCTCGTTATAGAACAACATAACCTCGGGCTTCTTCTTGCCGTCAGCGGCGACCAGCGGCTCGGCGTGCTGGGTCGACAGCAGCAGCACGTTCTTGTTGGTCTTCTTGTTGTAGGACGTCACCATGATGTTCTCGGACCAGTAGAACTTCGATGAGTTTACTTCTCTCCCTTCGGTCTTCTTTGCGTCCTCCGGCAGGTGTCGACGGTTTGCCATGACCGTGCCGACGTAGGTGAGGCCCTCTGCGAGAAGCTCCTCACAGAGGTCCACCGAGCTATAGAAGCGGTCGGCGGTCACGTTCCGGCCGGTGCGATAGAACGGCCGGACCAGATGATGGACCACGTTGGACGCTCCGGTGATGTGGAGCTCAGGGTCAGGATCTTCAGCCTTGCCGGCGTACGGCATGATGTTCAGCATGTAGCGTGATCGGGCGTCTGCTACGTCCCGGAACAGCAGGCCGTACTTGTCCGGCTTGTTCGGCATGTAGCTCACGAAGCCGCACCGACCACGGTAGGCTCGCAGCGTCTCGTCGACGGTGATACAGTCTGACGGCGTGTAGAACTTGGCCAGACGGCTGTTGAAATCCGAGAATGGGGATGGATGACACATGTGCGCGCGGTGCGGCTCGGCGGACCGACCGCCGCGCTCCGAGCGCCGGCCGTCTTCGACAAGATATATACAGAAACGTAACGTTATTTGCTCGCAACACCACCCATTCCATGGAATGGTTTGTTCTTGGGAGCCAGATTTCGTCGATGTAGACGGGTTCTCTGCCTACATCACGCATCTGCTTCATAGTCCGGAGCGCTTTGGCTCTGTGACACATCATCTCCATCGATTCCTTTCTCACATACATTTTGCTTCTCGCCACGTTCGTGCAAATCCGGGCGGCCACCGGCCGTTGCAGGCAGAGCGTTTAAGACGTACACTTCTCGCCGTGTTTTAGTGACACGGCACGGCTGCACGGCACCAAAATCACTCACGAATAACTCAAAGGCAAGGCCGTTGGTCGGGACAGTAACGGCGAAACAGAAACGCAAGCCCAATGCGGCTCTCGCTCGTGATCCGTACATCCCCAGCAGATGAAGCACAATGGCCGCCAAAACTGATTCGATTTTAATGCACTCGTGCATCAAAACGATCTATCGTTCGAATAATGTGTGTTGAAGATGTCAAATAGTAAATGCCGTTTTTAAAAGTTACATATATTCTGTACAAAAGAAAACATCTATTTTTTTCACACACAAATAATGCGTCCAGCAAATATTTGAGATACCGGACGGATATTTGTTCGACATTAAAGGGACTGTCCCACCTTAACATTAGAATTGAGTTGAGATAGCCATCTTGATGGGCGTTCTTTGAAAATCAGAGTCGTGAAAACCGTTTCTCCAGCAATTACTTCATCGCAAAGATCGTGTTTGATTTTGACATCTGTGCAAATAAGTGCCACAATGTATTGGTATTGGCACTTAAAACCTGTGACGTTTCCGCCTTTTCCGAAGTTTCTGTATCTGTCGACTTGTTTTTTATTGAAACCTTGAAAAATAACAACGCCTCTTGGAACAGCGCCCGGCGCCACGAGGTGGAAAATTAAATTGATATGCCAAACTAATTCTAATAGTCTTCTAATTCTAGCAGTATTTTTATTTTTGTATTTAAATATTTAAGAGGCCGTCCTACATCAGTAGGCGGAACTATGGTCAAGCGTACCCATTTTCGGGAACGCATTTTCGTTCCCATGTTTGGGAACGATAAACCCAAATATGGGAACGCCATGTAGGCATTATTTAAAACAAGAAAAAGAACCGTTAAATGACGTCCAAAAAATATAAAACGATCGTGAACCGCCTGATAGTTGTCTCAATATTGTTGGGAAAGAGTTTGATATTGTAAGGCCCATCGTAGTTTCAAATCGTTCCCCTATTTCTAAAGCAGTCCATCACCCGGGCCGCGAGCCCAAATTTGGGAACGCTCTCGTACACTGGCGCTGCAAGCGTTCCTTATTATGGGAACGGCGTACCCAAAATTGGGAACGATTTCACCGACGCCTTTCAGGGGCTCTTTTCATTAACAAGCATCACGTCCAACGCCGCAAATTATTGTTAACGCAACAATCATCAGATGACCTTTCCGGCAAGACCGTTGCATGTTTCGCCCGGTCTTCTGCGCTTTTATTCCCGTCGATCTCGCAGCGGGCACGCCCCCTCTGCAGGATTACGTAATCCACAACGCTCAGCGATGTTCAACAAGGTCTTCCATACCTATATCCACCGTCCGCGCCGAGGGTGGAGACATGTCAAGCACCTGTCTGCTAATCACCGAGAGTTGACGAGCACAAGAAGTATCCAAAAATGGGAACGCTGAATATGTTACACCCTCAAAACACCTAGTCCCAATGAAAATCTAGTTTTTTCCTTTCTTAATGAGTGTAAGTGGCAAAAGGCCTGGTAGGATGGGCACGAGGAATGATCGAAATCAGCATAAAAATTATAAATAAGCCACACAGAGCGACCTATATCAGAGAAATTCCCCCCAAACGATCATGCTTAGAAACGCCGAAGACAAAAACCACGCTCATGACGCTCCTTATAAAACAACGCTAAACAGCTAGCATCCAAATAAAATATGTCTTTCAGGGCTGCTAAAATACAGCTGAATGATTTTAAACCACTGAAACTGAGTTTACAACAGTAGTTCGGTAAAATCACTGACGTTCCACGCGGTCGATCGCCCCGACACCAAAAGTCAACAATATTACCTCGGGACTGTCCGCGTGTTCGCTTGCATATGTCAGCATCTGGTGTCGCTAGAATGAAACTTCATAACCAGGCGAAAATTATTATACTTGACCTCAAAATGTAAAAAAT